TTTGACACCAGTCTGCTGCAATTTTCTCCCTGTTATTGGGACTAAACCAAAGATACTGCAGGTGAGAAGGTGCATGCGGACTCGGACTCTTCCATGAGGTTTGGCTATGTTAGACTATAAAGTGTTTAAGACTAGTATCTTAGACTAACGTCTGGTTGGAGGAGATGGCTCTGTTTGTTTACAACACCACAACACAAACTGAAGAATAAAGCAAGATACTTGCTCTTTCCTGGAAGATACAAAGGTGGGAGCAGTCAGGTCATCTCTCTCGAAACACTTCAGAAATAAAAGTGCTTTCCTCAAAACTATGTAGCAGGAGCAGTTGCTGCTCCCACCGTCACCTGACGTGTGCCGCTTGCTTTCCTGTTCAAGTTGTGCATGTAGGGTCATACATGCTAGTTCTCAAATGTTAATAATACTGACCTGTTAGTGTAGATTGTGAGTTTCTCCTTATTGCAAAATTCGTTATCTTAGATAATTCTGAGTCTGTACCCAATACAGTGGCATAAATTTCCTGCTGTGATAAAGAAGTAATATTCATAACTCTGGCAATGGTAGATGTCAGTGCTAAAGAGCTAGAAATTCAGAAGCCCTGTTCAGAAATCATTTGTAGTGAAATGAGGGGTTTGAGGCTGATGAGCTAATAGGCAGTTAATTGCCTGGTGCTGTGATGATGTTACGGCTGGAAAAATAAATATGCTTGCGGTATCTTTGCCTGGCCTCAGAATGGAGATCTTTCAGAAAATGTTTTCTTGCATGCAGCGACAGACACCTACAAATACACAGGCTTAAGCTTACGTTCCCTGTGTGCTGCTTCATTCTTGCTATGAAAAAGGGTGTTGTATGCTATGTTCAGTGTGCGATGGCTTAGCCCCGTTGCCCTTAGCAGAACAAGAGGCCACAAAACTGACTAGTGCCAAGACAGACTACTGTGTGAAAAGTATTGTAAAAATGAGCAAGTACTTCAAATTTTCAATACTCTTGCTAGCTATTAAAGCACCTTCCATATCTCTGCCTCTGTCACTGAGTAATGTGCTCAGCATTTCCTTGAAGAGTGGTTCAGAGCTCCAAGTATGTGAACAAAACACGTAGCTTCATGCATAGCGAGCACGCAGTCTGTGTATTTAGAATAGAACACGAATCTCCAGCAAATGGGATTGCTCAGTGAATTGTTCCTGACGTTAGACTCGAGAAAGGAAATTTAGGACGCTAATATAGATTCCTTAAAAACTAGGTTGTCTGGATGACCGATTCCCAAAATCATTTGCTGCGTATTGTCAGCAAGGATAACAGTTATAGGTGGGTCTATTAAGAGATGTTGGAATGGCTTCTGTGCCAGTACTAATACATTGAGTATGGCTTGGGAAACTGCTTTTAGTGTTTTGCCGTGTGTTGTCGAGTCCTGTTTGATGTATGTTATGTCCAGAGAGCTCTGCTACTGAGAGCTAAACATCGCGTGGCTTAAATTACTTGTTCGGCAAGTCAGCAGCTGTTGGTAGAGGTTGGGGTTTTTTGTCTTGTCCGTGTCCTTCGCTGTTTGTTTTCCAGTGAGTGTGGCTGTGGCAGCAATTAACAAATAATATTGAGGCTTTTTGGGAAGTCAGGTATATTAGATATACTGTGGTTCAGTTCTTGTCTTACAAGAAAATTACGTTATAAATTGTTTCCTACAACAGAAATTACGTACAAAGGCATAATCATTTCTTGGGAGTGTAAGTGGATATTGACATACATGAAAGGTTTGGGTTTTTTGTTGCGTAAGTGGCGTTAACATTTAACCTAGAAATATTTCCTTTTTCTTCTCCTTTTAAATCTAATTGCATTTATGTTCACATTAGTGCTTCAGTAAATATTGGAAACAACAGGATTTGGAAGATGGGGGGTTATATAGTGCAATGTGAAGGCTGTACCTTTGGGAAATCTAAAGTAAGCAGCCAAATAATCCAGATTCTAATTTAGTGCGTAAAGCAAATATGTAGTATTTAAAATTACAGTAGATAAGAAGCAATCTAACACCAGAAGCAAAGAAGAAACAGCTCAAAGCCCTAATCACCTGATGGTTTTAGTCATTCTGGTCATTTTGTTTTTAAACCCATACATAAAATAGATTGCTGCAGCATTTTTATTGTTACTTAAAGTGTAATTGCAGAAGAGCAAAAAGGCTACCGGATGAACAAATCTGCTATTAATTCCTTTTAAAAAAGGAAGAAGTTGTTGTTGTAAAACTTAATTTTCTGGTCTAAACTGGAGCGTAGAAAGAAAAAATCTGACTTGGCCTGGAAGCTCCATGCTAGTTTCCTTGTGAAAGAAGAAATTACCGGAGAAATGGTTTTGTATATTACAAGAACAAGAAAGTCACGAACTGGATTCTGGCTGAAGATTTTTTTCAGAGAAATAACTGGTGTGCACATCCATCACCAGCTTTTTTAATCGCGTGAACGCATTAAGTTGATTAAATTTCAGTAATTGTCTAACAAAGCCATAAATGGAAGGCGTTAATTTTGGTTAGGTGAGAGGGTCAGCAATCTAGCGCAGTGCTGTGAATAGAGCTTGTTAGTAACCGCTCAGTGAGGACCAGCCCCTGTCCGCAGGTCAAATACTAGAGGCAGAAGAAATTTGTACCCAGCAGCCAGGCTGTACTGTGTTGTTTGCACAGTGTGTCGCTAGTGAAGGCTGTGAAGCGGGCTACGTGGATGTTCCTGGACGGGTAAAAGTGAACTCGGCGTGGCTATTAGGTAAGGATAAACTGATTGTCAGTCCAAGTCCTCGCTGGCACAAGCAGAAACCGTTTTTCTGGTCCCCATCTAAAGATGGGTACCCACATAATATTCAGCCTGGAGTGACTGTAATATAGCCTCACTTCTGAGTATTGCACACATTGTTGCTCTGTGTCTGCAAAGAGGTGAATTATCATTGCTGTTGTTAGCATTACGTGTTCAATTATACATTCTTAAAGCAGCGTGGCTGCCGCGTGTTCTGTGTCCTAGAGAAAAGGACATCTCAAGAGCAAACAGGCTTTCCCCAGCTGAGATGGAGTGTTTCATTTTTTGTCCTACTCGTTCTCTTCAAATAGAAATTCAACAGTCAGTTATGCTTCTGAAAACATCTCTGCGCAGCAGCGGGGCCCCGACATAGGGACTAACTTGTTTTGCATGAGTCAGATGAGTGCCGTACCAATGGCACTATGCAGGCTGATCTGGTCTGCGTGCTCTTGCCATCTGTTTTGTTTACTGATGCAAAGTTTTGACTGCTCCCGGTATTTCTAAGGCAACCACCCCACGAAAGAGTCATCGGTGAATTGTTCTCTTAGCTCTAGTTGTCAGATAGTAAATAGCGGGGATGAAGGTGTTGGAGTAAAGTGAATAGATAATTGTCTTCCCATAGAGAAACTGAGCTGACAGATCCTATTTAGAAACAAACAAGAAAACACTTCTCTCAAACTTAAATTAAAGCAATAGCTTTTTTTTGCCTGAATTCCTACACGAGAAGTTACAAGGGGCTGAATGTGGAGCTTCAGTGTCACTAGAGAAAAAGACATTTTGTAAGCATAGGCTTGCTTTCAAAGCAAAAAAAAAAGAAAGTAAAAGCTCTCCCGTGTCGCCATCGCAGCGTGTGCTTTCTTGGCATTATTCGTGGGGAAGGCCCTGATGGAGAGAGGCTGTTCGTGCTGTAACTACGGGGGAGCACTTGGAGAGACCTTTTCAAATGCCCAAATGGCAGTGACCATCAAGCTTAACTCTTGGTGGGATTTCTGAGTCCAAATTACAGTTTTGGTCTTGACTGGGGGGAGGGAGGGAGGGAGTATTTCAAGACACATGTTGCAAAATACCCTTGTCCCTGCAACTCCATTTCCATATAGTTATATTAGCCGATTACGTTGCGATCTCCCCATAGGGATGGTTGTCTTGTCCCTTTTTCCCTTTGTATGCCTCAAAACGCACTAGTGAGGCAAACCCCCCCCCCCCATCTTTGCTGAGGCTGCTGGTAGGCTGCAAGTCCCACTTGTTCAGCTCGTGTGAGGAGTTGGTGCCCTCGAGGTCGGGACAGAGAGATCGTGACCTCGTGTAATCTTTCCTGCAGCTTGGACACGAACAAACGATTTCTCTCTTGCCCAGTCCCTAATTTTCATAGACCTTAGAGGAACCTAATTGTCTTGGAGATGTTGTGTAGGATTGTCTCATGCTATGAAAGCTTGGGAGGGGAAAGACTGGGGACTGACAGGGTGTCATGCCCTCGTTTCCCTTAGAAACTACGCTGAATGTGTCAGTGTTGTCACACATATCTGACTGCGTGGTAAAAACTTTAGTGTGGTGGGTCGGTCTTGGAGAACCTTTTCAGAAGGCAACCTTAAGGGATCTGTTTGTCAACAAGGTGCATCTGCTTTCTGGTATACAGAAACTGCACAGCGGACTGGTTGCTAGGCCAGCAGAGCAGAGCCGCCTGAGGTCTGTCGTTGCTGTAAAATGGTACCCAAGATCTGAAGTTAATTATCTGAAATCGCTAAATATTTTTCTTTTGCCTATGCTGACTGTTTTCATGCCTAGAGCAGTTAGTTTGTCAGAACAGACTATCAAAGCAGAAGCACTTCAAGAAATAGGTAGTCTGTTTTGGGCGGGGGGAAACCAACTTAAAATCTTTCAAGCACACTAGCTTCTGTTTCCCTGGAGAGGAGCGGCTGCCTAACGACTGTGTTTACAAAGCTGGTTCTAGAGATCACCTGTGTCGGTTGGTCACTCCTCCTTGCCCAGAAAATACTAGTATTGTATTTCTAGACATCTTGTGCTTGAGGAGTAAGGCTACAAGGTCGGACTATTGATCGATTTTGAGTGTGGTTTGAAATACTAGATCTGATTTTACCTCTTTTTCCTCAGTAGGTACAGAACATAGGTTTGCATCGATTCTTGGTATGTGTGGCTATGGCATGTGTGGAATAAGTGTTGACTTTAAGAGTGTATTTCAAGGTTTTTTTTTTTTTTTTGCATTTTTCTTCGGACCTGCAGGTTCTCCTGGAAAACAAGCAGATAACTCAGCCAACAACCAAGGAAATAACTTAGGGACCCCAACCAAGGCTGGAAAACTGAGCCATGCTTTTAGAGATCCCCGGCCAGGAAGGAAAACTGCAGAGGGACAAGTGACAAAAGGTGGTGATGAGTCAGAGAGTGATTTTGAATCTGATCCTCCTTCTCCCAAGAGCAGTGAAGAAGAAGAAGAACAGGAGGATGAAGAAGTCCTGCAAGGAGAGAATGGAGACTTCAATGACGACAATGATACAGAACCAGAGAATTTAGGCCACCGACCTCTCCTCATGGACTCTGAGGAAGAGGTGGAGGAAGAGGAGGAAGAGAAGCAAAGTTCTGACTCCGATTCTGATCGTACCAAGCAAAAATCTGTGGAAGGGCTTCTGAGCAGTAGGTTCAGGGATGGTGTGGGCAGCGGTGAAATCAAAGAACCCAGTTCAATGCATACGTCCTTGTCTGAGGTGCCAAGTACTGTAATCAAGGTGAATCCTGGCCAAGAATTTGACGTGTTCGGGGCAGTGCCCTTCTTCACTCTGCAGCCTCAAGCAAGAGAGAAGATGAACAAAGATGCCTCTTCTCAGATGGCTTTTTCCGGCCTGAACCAAGAGCAGGATGACTTTGATGTTTTCACAAAAGCCCCCTTCAGCAAAAAGGTGTCTCAGCAAGATGGCCAGGTGGCAGGAACTGAGCCTCTGCTCTCCCCCACCTCTCCACGGAGCGTCGATATTTTTGGCTGCACCCCATTTCAGCCTTCCCTTCTCCCCAAGACTGGTGGGAGTAAAGAGGACCTGTTTGGGCTGGTGCCTTTTGAAGAGATCACGGGGAGTCAACAGCAGCAGCAGAAGGTGAAGCAGCAGCGTAACCTGCAGAAGCTTTCCTCCCGCCAAAGGCGCATGAAACAGGAGGTCTCGAAGAACAACGGGAAGCGCCACCACGGCACCCCAACCACCACGAAGAAGGCGTTGAAACCGAGCTACCGCACCCCTGAGAGAGCCCGCAGGCACAAGAAAGCAGGCCGCAGGGACTCGCAGAGCAGCAACGAGTTCCTGACTATCTCGGACTCCAAAGAGAACATAAGCGTTGCGCTGACTGACAGCAAAGATCGAACCAATCCTCTGCAGACAGACGAGAGTCTGCTGGATCCTTTCGGAGCTAAACCCTTCCACCCACCGGACTTGATGCGGCATCCCCAGCATCAAGGGTTTGGTGACAACCGCGGGGATCACGGCACGGTAGTAGTGGCGGGTAGACCTAGGCAGAGCTCCTTGCACGGAGCCATTCACGGCAATGACGGCCTGAAAACAGATGACTTTGGTGCAGTACCCTTTACGGAACTGGTTGTGCAGAGTGCGCAGAGCCAGCAGCAACAGGCGCTGGAGTTAGATCCCTTTGGAGCAGCTCCGTTTCCTTCCAAACAGTAAACGCTTCCAATGGGTTTCCCCCCTCCACCTCTACAAGTTACTTCATAGAGGTTTTAATTAGTGGAGTAATTTATCTGGTTGAATTGACAGGGACATGGGTTGTACAGTTTGTTCAAGTTCAAGAAGGCGTGGCCAACTTGCACGATGAAATTTAGAATGATGGCAAATTATTGGAGGGGGGGGAGGGGGGGAGAAAAATAGAAAAAACAGACCAGGAGCATCATTTTGTTGATGGCTGCCAGAATGAAAAGAGAAATCAAATATGAATCGTTGTCTGTCACTGACTTTGGGCCTTGGGACGTATTGTCATTCTGCACTTTTGCGTTGCCTCTTCAGTCGTCTGCGATGTGCTGAGATGGAGGGAGGGGCACGGGCAGAGATCACATGAAAAACATTTTCCATACATACAGGTAGGCCAATGGAACTGTGGTGGTCCGTCGCGTCTCAGTTGCAATAGACCTAAGAACGAAAATATACTAATATCCAGGTTGATCTGCTGAAAATAGTTGAGTCTTTGCTTCCTGGGTGAAAACTACCTTTATCAATCATAAAGAAGCCAAGTCCTCGAGGGGCTGCGGCCCAGAATTCCAGAGCACGGCTATGGCTTGGGACCTGGTAGACATCTATGCAGCTGCAGAGTTGAAAGGCGGATTATTTTTTTGTGTGCCTAAGCGTTCAAATTTTTTTTTGTTTTGTTTTTACAGTAAGTGCCATTAATGTAAAATAGCAAACTGGAAGTTTAGAGTTAAAACTAAAGATACAGAGAACATAATGGTTTGCGAGATGAAAAGCCTGAATGTAGGGGAGTAAACCAGCAGGGATGCAGCCAGTGTTTGCAGCACTTTGAAGACTACTCAGTACGCTGGGAGGACGGGCTGGTTTACACGAGGAAATCATTTGGCACATATGGAGTATTTCAGATGACTTGTACAGTTGACCGTGAGATGCAACCTTCAGATTTATTAGATGACAAATTGGGATTTGTGTCTGAAAATACCTTTTCTTTTCCTCTTGGATTTTTATTGCAAAGAAAACGTGTATTCTTTCAAACCTGTTGTTTTTTTAAACAGTAATACTTTTATGAAATGACTGTAACCTAATGTTCGTTTAAGTTGTCGTGAATCTATTATTGTACTTAAGTGTATTTTATAAGAAAGTTTTGCTAAATGCACTGAGCTTTGAAGAAACTTTTCTGAACCTGGATTTGTTTCAGAATAGAAGCAGTAAGCAGCAGGTAGCTTGCAGAAGCTGATCGCAACTGTACCAGTAAGCTGCATTTCACACCACGAAGCCTTACCGGCAGGACTCCCGTCCTGCTGCACAGTACCTCTGAGACACTAGGTGCACGAGACGTGGCTAGAGCTTGGGAGCGTGCGGTGCCAGTAGGTGATGGGAAGGCGATGCGAACAGACTCGTCGAGGACAAGATTGCGTTACCGTGTTGTAGAAGTACGTGCTGCGTGTAGGCGGGACGGCTTCTCTGCTGCCTCGCAACTTGTGCCAAGCCAAGTAGACCCTCTGCAGAGCGAGTACGACTCGGGACGGTCCAATTTGTCTGCCTTTTTTCCATGGCAGTCCTAAAGAGGAAGTCGAAGGAGGTAGTTCCTCTGCGTGTCTCAACTTTATATCCTGCTCTGCTGAATGCTGATGAGTAGATAATTGGACGTTTATGTATGGAGGACATAAGCATTCATGGTTGTGTGTGCCTGTGTCCCCCCCTTTCACAGGAGGTCAAGTGAAATATTTAGGGTTGTGCATTTTTGTTCAAAGTCTCCTGCTGGTTATACAGTCGTCCTGAGATCTGTGAGGGTGAGGGGTGGATCCCTTAAAATATTTGTTGAAAACATTAAAAACAAGTCACTTGACTCCTTTTGGGGTTGGTGTGATAAAACGCTCCCTCGGATATATGTGAGATTGCTTCCCCTTGTCCTGGAATTTGAAAGTAGCTCATACATATCTGTACCTTTTCATTACATTTATCTTCCTCGTTCTCATTTTTCTCACAGGGTGAAAGTGAAATATTACAGCAGTGCTTGGTTAAGTATGCCTTTTTCAGGCTTAGAAATTAAGCTCTTAAGAGGTTATGAGTAGAAATATTTCAACTCTATTTGCACAGGAGTTTCTTAGGCTTTATTACTACTGTTCTCACCTGGGTTTTTTGTGCCAAAGGCTGTAAGAAGCGCATGCCAAGGTTTGTAGCATTTTCTGATACTCAGGTTAACTGTTTTGTGTTTTGTGTGGGTTTTTTTTTTTTTTTCCTTTCTCTCTGCGCGTGCTTATGAGCTGCCTTCCTGCGCTTTCCTTCCGAGCTGTTACTGACCTGCCTAAAGACCTGTTGGAACAGAATGTTATTACAAATGGGGCAGGTGGGTGGAAACAAAAGGAGAATAAAACAACAGGCAACTGACCCACGGTCTTAAATGCGGCTAGTCCTCGCCGAAGCCACGCAGCCGCTGCTTTCCCTGGTGGAAAAGCAACTTCAGGGCTTCCTCGGCCCTTTGGTGCCAGAGGAGAGGGATAACAACGCGCATGGGACTGGGCCTTAGCTCCGCTGCCTGAAAGGAGAGGTGGTTCGCTGTTGGACGCAGAGGGAGAAGGCTGTGCATCGGCAGACTTAGTGCGGGCCTAAATATTCAGGTAAATGAAGAATAGAAGGAAGCGTGTGTGGGTTTTGTCTGTTTATCCTGAGACTTCAGGCTGAGGAGCGCCGCACGTTTTCCTTGTGTGGCGGGTTGGTTTGTTTTTTGGCAGAGGGTCTGTAAGTGGTTATATTGCAGTACAGGGAAGCTGAAGTGAGATTGTACACAGAAACCAAGAGACGAGATGAAAGCTAACTGTAAACCCAAGTTACTCTAAAACTAGCATAATGCCTCCGGCTGCTTATGAGTTATGGCCGATGATACTTGCTTTCTAATGGCCTTAATAAACCTTGTTCTTTGTATTCTAGTTATGAAACAGGTTTTTGCATAAATGTAACTTTTTTGTTGCTAGAGTTAAAATTATTTTATCCTTGTGACTGAAGAGAGATTAGTAGGCCTCGCTAAGTTGACTTTGCGTGGTATATATTGTTTATACACAACTAAACCCAAGTTTGGGTTTAATTTCAGCTAAGATCCACTATTCCACAGAGACAAAATGAGGTACTGTCGGGGAACGTGACATCCTTTTGCCTTTATTCGGTGTGTGTGCGTGCTCGTGTGTGTGCTTGCCATGGAGCGTATCGTGACCTTACCTGACATACGGGAGAGACCTTGCTGCACTAGACGTGTACCGTTCTGTCTGTGAAGACAATAATGGCAAGGTAAGGAACTGACACTTCCCTTCCAACAGAAAATACCGATTGATTCTTACAGCTTTTCTTTCGGCATGTTGAATGACTGACCCACAGGCCTTTTAGCATCAGCTGCTTGAGAGAGAGATTCTGTCCAAAGGTACTAAGAAGCCCTTACTGGTTGCGGTCACTGAAAGAAGAATAAGGTAGTCGTGTTTACCTGCAGACTCCCAAACGGCCTTGAGATGTGCGCAGTTGCTTTGGCTGACCTGCGTAATGTGGGAACCGTGAAAACCAGCTTTGGAGGAAATAACTTTTAATCATTCTGGGTGTCCCAGTGAGTAAAACCAAGTACTGTGAATATATTTGCTACTGTGAGAATAAGAGTTTATCTGGAGTTTTTTATACTATATGGTGTATTTTTATATATGAAAAGTATATATAAAATATACACATGCTCGCACACATCACGTATCTCTTGGAGTTGCTGTGTTTTTCGTAACACGGCAGCCACAATCACTTTTGTGTGACTTGAGGGAGTGAATATGAGTGAAAGCTGCAAAGGAAAAACAAGTGCAAAGGGTGGCTGCTGTGTTACTTTGGTGTAGTGCTTAATTCGAAAGGAAAAGCGAGGAAATTGTGTGTATAGCGAAATTCGTGACTAAGGCATCACCTAATATTAAAGAGCATAAAAACGATTTTAAAATTGCTGGCATTCAGCTTTTAAGTGCACTTTCCTGAACTACACTTCCATTTCTTGTTAGATTTCAAGTTTCTAAAGCTTTTTTGTGTACCACTAAACAGAGAACTTTAACTTTTTTGTGAAACTGATGTACGTCATAAAATACTTGCAGTTGTTAAATAAACAAACAAACGTGATTACAGTGACTTTGCAGATCTCCTTAAACCTTGCATTATTAAGTATTCACATTTAGGCTTTAATTTATTCACTGTAAGCGATGGTGCTTCTGCTGATGGCTTTTTGTGGCTGTAGGCTGCTGTCACTCTTTCAAAGATGTTTCAAAATACTTGTATTTGCTGCCCAATCATCTTTCTTTGTCCAGCTTATTAAAAACGTGTTGATCATATACTATTTTTAATTCCTTAGGTTCAGTGTTACTCTCTAAAGCCTTCCTGCAGAACAGTACTGAAAGGATGCGTGCCGATTCCTAGGCGGTAACCAAAGCTTGGTCCCTTTTCTATACCCAAAACGTTAAGTACAGTTCCCGATGCTGTCTCCGTGGACTTAGTTCTGCACCTAATCGTTTAGACGTAATTTTAATGTGACTTGACCCTCTCCTACCAATGGTTTACCACAGCAGTTTTTTTGGATGCTGCTTGTACTGGTGTTACGCTTAGGTAAGCTGAAGTAAGAATGAAAACGGTCAAGAAAAGATGGTGCGGCAGCGGGTCTCAGCTACTAAAGAGTAGTAGCTCATGTCCTGGCTCTTCTGTCTTATGCCCGTTGCCCATTTCAGTCTCATTTTGCTACAAGCAAATACAGTTTAACTGGAGGCTTCAGCTTAAACGAAAATGAACAACCGTGGCTGTTAAATTCTTGCTTTAAAGTTAGTTTTTCAGGGAGAATGAGGTCTTTCCAGTCTGCACGCTGCCCATGGTTTAAAGGCTTGGCAGAGGGCGAGAGGCAGAGGGCTTGGGGAAATCCTGAGGGTTACTGGTAATAACTGTTGTGGGAGCGCTAGCCCTGTGCTGCAGGACAGGGTGAGAACGGGCGCTGGCAACGGCGGGCGCAGAGTCGTCCCCCCTGGCTGGCGCAGCTGCCTGCTGCAGGCTGTGTGCGTAGGCAGATAGCCTCCTATGGTGGGAGCTGTTCTGCCCGTGTCATTTCTGATAGAGGGTTGGTTTGTTTTCAGCCCCTGCAGTTAGAAAAAGTTCTGGCTGGAGTTTTCTGTTCTGTTTTTGCAGCGTAACTGCCAGCACTTGATTACTCATCGCTGGTTTTTGCATGCAGTTGAACTACTTCCGTTAGGGCAAAAGCTCGTTTACGAAGTGGAGGTGGGAAGGAGTACTGTGGTTTCAGCTGAAGCAGAGTCAGGGTGAACCTCTCCCTCTTTTGATGAGGACACAGCCACAGCAATCGCCGGAGCTCTTAAGATACGAAGGAGGCCCTGCTTGGAAACTATCTAGATCTAAAGGCAGTAGGTTGCAAAGCTGACTTCATCAGCGGATGCATCTGGAGATGCTCCTCCAAAAACGCTAGTAGCATATAGTGCACGCAATACTGGAATCGCGCACTTCGAACACCTGCCCTGCCCGTCGGTGCTGTGCCTTGATAATGCAACAGACCGTCTCCCTGTACGTTTAAAACCCCGGGGGAGGTGACAGAAGTTGCGTGGCTGAGCAATTCACATCTGTCGGTTCCCTATGGCAGATGCAAGAATGGTGTTACTCCAAGTAAACAGCCAATGAACTGAAATTTATTTACAGGGTCGGTATGTACATGAAAGACCATCATGCAGCTTGATAAATTTTGTCAGGGTAATAAAAATGTACAGCTTTGCAGTCAGTTTCCTTCTCCAGTGAAAACTGCTACAGTAGTTAGAGTTTACATAAAAAAAATACCATTAGCAAACTATAAAGTCAGTATGCTTTCAGAACACAAACACACATTCTTTAAATATTATCATTCACGTAACACTGGCAACAAGCTTTTATACTTGCAGGTTCCTTGTCAGGCTTCAGTAGTAGTAATCAGTGCACTTGAAACTTGCTTGGCTGTCAAATTTAAAAAAAGAAAAATTAAAAAAATCAGTGCTTACACTGCAAGGCTTAAAGGTCTGGGAGTTGAATCTTAATTGCTAAGTCAGTTCTTGCCACTACTTGTTTCTGGAGTTGGGAAAAAACCCAAAAACCACCCCCTTGGACTTAACGGACAGTTAGCATTACTCTCCAGCATCGCTGTAAAGAAGGTAGTATCCTGCCTGCTCCATCCCCGATGTGTTCAGATGCCTGACAGTACGTTTCCATCGCTATTCCCTATCTCCTTGGCACACCGCTGACGAGAAAGGCTGAGGGAGCTGGGCGTGTTTAGCCCGGGGAGGAGGCAGCTTTGGAGGGACCTGACAGCAGCCCGCCCGCCCCGAGGAGGGCGCTGCAAGAAGCCAGCCTCTCCCCGCTCTGAGGGAGCTAAATCCCATCAAGGGAAAACCCTCCCCGCAAAGAAAGAGGCAGTAGCACAGCATTGACAAGGCCGATAGTTCATTAAGGGCTTGGCGTGTGCCAGGCAGCTCTTAAGGTGGTTGCCTAAGGCTTTCCCAGCCCGCTGCGTGGCAGTGCTGTTCTTTCCTCGGCCTCGGGTGTAAGACCACTGGTTTGAAACCTTACAAGGCCTCTATCAGTGTGTATTAAGCTGGCTGCTGTCAGACGATCATAAGATATGAGAGAAGATGCTGGGACAGTATCGAAGGCCACGCTGCAGGTCACAAGGGGAGTTGTAGCGAGTTCAGCTAAGACAGTTTATAATCGCAGAGCAGAACTTCTCTGCCTGTAGTCAAAGCAGAAACAGTGAGGGTATCTCGCGCTTTCTAGCCGTGCCGGTGCAATCGCGTCCTTCAACACCTCTGGTCTCAAACGGTAACCACTGGGGATTAAGTCATAACAGCCTCTGAGGCGCACAGACTTATCTCCACGTGGCTGACGCTGACTAACGCTCCATCGTGTGAAGCAGCAGCATTTACTACCACTGCTCAACTGAATTGTAAACACAAGCACAGCTGCTATACAGAAGCCACTTAAAAATGTTCTCACCCAAAAATCCAAATCATTCCACTCCTGTTTGAAAAACCGGCACCCATTGAGCTGAATCATGCTGAGCTACAGCTAGCTCATAACCTGCGTATTTCGTGTCTCCCCAGTGTTAGAGTTTGTAAGAGACGGTATCAAGACAGATTCTAAAACCCAAGGCAACCTCTTAACTGTGGAAAGTTTATGGTGATCAGTCATTTTCGGTAACAAAGTCTGCAAGTACAGTATAATACATCACAATTAAAAGGCCAAAGTTCAGTGATTTGAATCCACAGCAGGTGCACTACTCAGGGCGTGTTACTTCACCCTGCTAAACAAAGGTAACTGAAAAAAAATCTTAGCAACTCTACTGATTGCAAGATAGTACCAAACATGAACACACAGGCTTAGTGCTACTCCTGACATATTTTAGAATATTAATTCCAAATTACCGAAGGGATCTAGAGAAATTTTTTGAAGTAATGGCACTACCCATATGGGGGGAGGCAATTTTTAAGATCTGAAATGAAGATACACCTATGGTGGATGACATGTGATCTTCTCTTCCAGAAAAAGGAAAAGAGCTTGTCCAGAAAAGTACAAGAGTCCCCTGAATTGAATTTTATACGTTACTGTTGCGATGCTGAAGCGTAAGCACGTCATTCAAAGACTCCGAAGGATGCAACGCAGCATACCACTGTGATTTAGATCCAAGGCCAGGTCCCACAGTTACCACGCTGTCAGGGGCGGTTTCTTAATTATGCACTTGAACAAAACCTGAAAACCTGGTATATGGACCTGTTAGCTCAGCAAGGGCAATTTCTTCTGTTGTTTGTGTTTACCAAGCAAAAAAATCCTGCTGTGATCCGAATGCTGAGTTCTACAGCCCACCTTTCCGTTGTCCCACTCCAGGACGACCTGTTATGTATTTGATTGCAGAACAGGAAATGAATGTCAGATCCTAGGAAATGCTGTTGGTTTTTCTCAAAACTCCTAATAATATACTGTCCCAGCAAGCGGCTAACGGTCCAGAAGTCAGAAAACGAACAGCCTCAGTGCTTAACTTCATAGCTTAGCTCGTTAGGTAAGGTGCAGACCCTCAAAGTCAGAAATTTCATCGCAGTACCTCTGAAATACAGTGAGGAATCAAGTTTAGTCATTTACTGTGCATATGAAATTATCAACTCTTACCTGATTTCCAAAAAATCCAGACCAATGCTTAGTAGGCTGACAACCTGACAAAAGCCTGAAGAAAAGGCGACTTAGAAACAAATACTACTGACTGCTTGAGGCTATTAAATTTGTCAAATGGAGCTGAAAGGGAACAGAACCTTTGTCCAGCCTGTTCTAAAACTGCACAAGGGCACTGCAGTCTCGTGGAGCCACGTGCCATCCAGCAGTACAGATGGGCAGAGCGCCTGGCATCAAGATCACTACTTTTTTTATTTACGAGCAAGCATTACACCAATCAGCATTTTCTTTACGGATTTTGACTGAAACTTGTGACAAGTTAAAACCGGGATTAGTTAACCCTAGCAGTCGTTAGAAGATCCTATTCCCACGAGTATGAAAACGGCTATACCTTCACTCACAAGTCCGTGCTATACTCAGGACAGGGCTTGCTGTGTCGATATTGCATGATGTACACTGTGGACTGATGCCACCAATACAGCATCACCACTGCAAGGATATGCCATACTTGGTGACTCGAGCCGAGGTAGTTCAACTGTCCTGTGGGGAAGAAAAAGGGCAAGCGGTTAAGTTGTTGAATTCAGCAGTAACTCATGCAATGCAATTAGCAATCAGTCTCCTCCAAAGCTCAACCGTATACTCCACTTGCTGGGAGGCAGTGAAAGTTCTTTAACGAACGTGATCAGAAGTTGTCTGCCTTCTTTTCATGCAAATACACACAACATTTTACTTCTCACTACTTCTCACTACGTGAGAACACTTCACGTAGAACATGGTCAACCTGTTCTCTCACAGGAAGTTCAGGACTCACAGCAAGGACTGTGACACTGCAGGAAGCTGAACTGCAGAAAAAACACCCAGAAGAGAATTTCCTACCTGGGAAGTATCTTTCTGGAACTTTGGAAATATAGAAGAGAAAAGCTACAGCAGCGATGAAGTACATGACAACTACACGCGGAGCAAACTCCTGCAAAAGAAAAGGAAGCTCTCCTATTCTGTGAGAAGGTAAAAATAGAAAAAAAAAAAAAAAAGTCCCTCAAGATAAATAAAGGACATGACGAAACTGAATCTTACTTCACTGCCTATGTTATCTATGGACAAAGTCCAACAGGGAAGCAAACGCCAAAGTTTGGGAAAATCTGAATGGGAAGAAACTTGTTTTATCATGACCTCTCTGCTTCAATACAGAAGCTACTTAGTGTTTCCATGCAGCCTGCAGCAGACATGAAATTTGTCGGTAAGCGGACGTCTTCCAATACACTGATCTTATGCAGAAGGGCCAGGATAAGTGAGAAGGATGACTTCGGTGCAAAATTTCATTTACTGATTGGGACTGCAGTCGCTAGAACCAAAGGCCACAGGACTACTACATACGGGATGCTAAATAATCACGCAACCCATTCACGAGTTGCTTTTTGTTTTCCTTAACAGAAAGTTTTGTTACCAGAAGTGGAACATTTTTCTGAAGCATGGAAACAAAATGCGTACCGTACCTACCATTCTGCTACACCAGGAGAAACTAAATGAGGGAAGAAGTAGGGGGACAACTACTCTTTATCTGATTTTTAGAAGGCCAGTATTAAGTCTCCTGTCTAAAGACTACATATGTTCATAAATGTTGCTCTTCCACATTCAACAGCAGCTCTGGACTGGGCTAAGCTATCACCCCGGGTGACAGGCCCCCAGCAGGGCCAGTCTAAGAATGAGCACAGTTACTGTTTACTATGAAAAGGCAACGTTTTCTTCAGCACGATTAGGTCGCTGGGTAACTGCAATGATTTCTGGGGTTTTCATATTGGGGCATCCTTTACTCTCTTTAGCTGTACTGTGCTGCTTGTTTTTCAGAGCATAACTCTAAGTGGTAAAACAGGAACAGGAAAATGGTTCAGTAACTTCACAGTGATGTTAAATGAGGGTTGCGTAAGAGACAGAGGGCTGAGTAGGCAAAAACTGATTTTTGGTGCCAACCCAGGGAACCGAAGAGGAAGCAAATAATCATCCCATCAGTGTCTTCTGGTTCCCCTCTCTGCTCTCGGGCTGTGGAGGCGGACAGCCCCGAGCGCTCGTGCAGCCTGACAGGCTGCTTCCCACTCCACAGCCGACTCACCTCTTCGCTCCTGTCCCTCGCCCTGGGGTGAGCGAGGGCGCGGCCCACTTACACAGCCGGCTCTGTCCCTCGGGCAGATACGCTCGGTCACATTTGCATCCAGTCTTCCTTCTCGTGGTGCAGTTTTAAATCAGTAAGGCAGATTTAATCTACTCAACCTGTTTACTGCTTCTCAATAAATTTCTAAGTGTTTGCACTTGGATCGTATCGTCCGAAAGAATTCTGTGCTTCAAGAAATTTTCATTAAGGCTGCTTCCCCCTCATTTCCTGAAGTGTACGAGGACTGAAGGAAGAGGGCAAGTGAAAAGCAAAAGGGAATCTTATTTCTTTCTTTTTTTTTACCTGTACAATAGATGCACCGATACCGCCGTTGAGCCAAACCCAGTGGACGGTGGGAATAATTCCATATCCAGACACTGAGCAAAAGATGATGGAGCGCAGCCTGTGCCACTGTTGCGTGAGGTAACTGGGATGAATCTGAGCAAAAAATACTGCCAAGATCATTGCCAGCACAGTGATCAAATATACCTGACGCCAGTACTGAGAAAAAAAGAAACAAACGCAAGTTTGTGGGTGTTCTCATCATGTGTAAAAGTAAACTCTGGGTAGAAAGTTTACATTACTAAATGTAATGAGATATCACTGCTGCGAGCGCAAATGACGGGGCTTGAATGAATAGACTTGTATTTATCAACGGACAGTAAGCAGAAGGGTCTCTATTGCTTGGGCACACCCGGTAGAACATCACTTATTCCAAGCAGTGCCTTCACCAAAACGTTTTAAATATACCTCCGCCTAAGCAGACTTGTTCAACTACCCGATCACTGCATCTGCTGCAGCCATGGATGGAATCTAGGCCTTTGAAGGGAACTATTTTTACTTGTTCTCTATTAGATGAAGAGAAAATAAGCTTGTTTCTGCCCCGTGTAAGTTACCTAGTGGGAAATGATGTTTGAGTTACTCGTGACGGGGACACATCCCATCATCAGCCTCATGCATTTGATAAAGGTAGGACCTGTAAAGTTTACCCTGCCTTCGTATAAATTCAAGTATTTTCTTGAGGTTTGTGTGGTTGACAACTTGAAAGGAAAGCCTCAATTTGCCTATCACTTCAGCAAGCTAAGTTCTGCTGGTGCCAGAAGGAACTCGTTTCAGTTTCCACCTCTGTCTCCTGGCTGATGTTCTATTTGGACACCTGCAATGAACCCCCTTCCTACGGCCTGGAAACTACAACAATGAGACCCCAGGAACTAAACGTTACATGAACAAGCGCTTCAAACTTACGTTATTACAATAAAATGCATAAAACACGCCTGACACATAGCAGCCCAGGATACCAATGGAAATTCCCGCATAATCTAATGCCATCCATCGTCGGCTGGTCTTCTCTGAGCGGTGACAACAGAAAAGATGATATCCTACTGAGCAAAGCATACAGACCTGTACAAATGTTCAAACAAGGATGCATTAATCTCTTAAAAATTAACAGAGAGTACAGCAAGCTTAAACTCTGAAGCTTAGCGCCTGCGATTGACCCGTTACATGTTTTGCAGTGCAACTCGGTGTAGGCAATTATGATTCCTGCCAATAATCAACAGAAACTAATGTAAGCTTCTCTGGCAGATTGAAGAAGGAACAGAAAACTTTGCAAGACTTGATAACCCCAGCTAAGGAAAGTGGGCTACTGAGGCCTACACCGTGAGGCCGAGCGAAAAGCCAGTACGCAAGGGAGCAGGGCCATGTCTGCAGGAGTACAGCGGGACGATGAATTCTGCTTGGCCAAACTACCAGCTGCAGAAACCAAAGCCCAAATCTGCCCTGACAAGTTGCTTTAGTGAGGGAACACACAAGAACTTAAACTCCTACGCACGGGCTGCTTATTTGCTTCTAGGCTGGCATCAAATTTTTTCCCTGAGAAATGGTTTTCGTGTTTCTCTGCAACCCTCAACAGGATTAGGGAAGAGCACAACAGCACTGCTTTCCAAGCCAGCAAGGGGGTTTTTCCCTCCTTCTAGCTATGCAAAGGCATCCTGTACTGTTCAGGGAATATATACAGTGCTCTTCGGCTCTTCACACTTTTTTAAGGACAGCATACTTTACAGGATCCAGTTATGACACACTTGACTTCTGCTGTTGAGAACAGATAAGAAGTTAGAATACAAGCCCTACTGCCATTCCAGACCAGCACCAGGCCGTGGCTGATTTTCATTGACCCTTTCCAGCAGCAACTGATGCTGTCTGGGAGCCACGTCAGACGCTTCTGAACCCCCACGCCCAGCTGAAGCTGTGAAATACGGCCTCGGACAATTTAGTGGGTTTTCACAGACTCTCTCCTAGGCCATGAGCTATGCTCAGTCCTCCCTGGTCTACTCCGTATTTCAAACGGGTCAAAATCAACTCAACCACCGCGCTTGCCAGTTACCTTTAGAAGCAACGCAACTTGAGTTCCCCCGGTCCGACCCGAGCCCCGCTCGCTCTGCAGTCCTACTTGCTCCAGGCTCGCGAGCGAGGCTTTAACGCTCTCCTTCTGAACGGCGGCACTCCCCTGAGCAGGCTCCCCAGCCCGCGCCCG